AGAGGGGAGAGGGAGAGGGAGAGGGTGGGGAGGGAGGAGAAAAGCAGCAGCAGCGGCAGCAGCGGCGGCGGCGGCGGCGGCGGCGGCATAGAGAAAAGGCTGGAGAGGCTGCAGACACACACCAGCAGCCGAGTCAACACTCACCATCTGCGTTTACGCTCTGTAACACAATCAGGCTGAAAAACGCAGAGTCTGCTCGATCACAGGCTGAACGCTCACAGAAGCTGTCAGGGTTTATAGCAGATGTAGGCTCCTCTGCCGGTGAGTTTCTTTATTCAAGCGGTGTCGCTCTTGCTTTTTTACAGAACGGTTTTTCCCCTTTCCGCCGGATGCTTTCTATTGGTTCTTATCTGCTACTGGTGCATTCATAGGCTCTCGGAAAAACGTATAGTTTACAGTGTGATAAAATGACTTGTATATTTTCCCCGTAAATATAATAATATAATTGATTTATACGAATTACTAAACATTACCCCTGTATTGTAAAAAGTATTAATTTTGAGGGAAAAATGCGAACGTCTAGTCATACATGATATGTAGTTATGTACTGAACGTTCTCTCTGACTCTCATCGCTTCTGATGCATTCAAAGTTATCAGGAAAAACATGCACTACACCAGTACATAAGGATTATTAATTTCCAATGATAATAACATCACGTGTGTTCATATCATACAGTCCTTCCCCCTATGTTTATGTTAACTATTATGTGTTAAAATAGTTTATTTCTACCAATATTTGTAGATTTTACAGATAAATATTGACGTCTGATCTGACCTGATCCTTTTCACTCTACAGATAAATATTGACGTCTGATCTGATCCTTTTCACTATCCTCTAGTGGACATAGTCGGTAACAAATATTTATTTGTGTGGTTGGGACATTTCACTTCGAATTAGTGTCCATAAAGGTGAAATCTACTGAAATTATAAGGTATATTATTAATTATATAATCATTTCCATAATTTTATGACCAAAAGATTTTGGTCCATATTTTTCTTTCTAATTTTAGCCATAAACTACGTATATATTCTTATACATAGAATTAATTAAATATGACACAAACCGATGACAATGATCTTTTTATTAAAACCCATCATTATTCCATTATTAATTTCTTTTTTCTAATACAAACTAGTCTTACTAAAAACACATTAATGCACAAACAGACTTGATGCTTGCAAAAGGCATTTGACCAAGAATTTCAACACAGAAACAGAAACGTTTTGAGCATTACTCCTCTGACACCAATCACTTTCAGAAATAACTTTTAATGATGAGTATTGTTAACTGAATGCAAAGTCAACAGTTGCCAAAAACGTATTTGGAAACAAAATGCATCAGGTTTTCAAACATAGAAGCTTGTTTACTCACTAAGGATTCATCACAGCTCTAATACTTCCTCTTTAGATGGTGTATGTACAATGGCTGTTTCTGAGCTTTTTTCTGTTCATGTCTGGTAAACTGCTCTATTGGGATTGGATCATAAAGTCGCAGCCAATCAGGCAATGGCACCAGTAACATTTCTATTTTATTCACACCAAAATCCACCCTGCAGCCCTGTGCTTGTTCTGGCCTCTGATATGTTCTGCCTGCACAGACATGTTTGTCATGGAGCAGATGGTTGTACATATTACCATAGTGATGTTTTTATTTTAGTTGTCCCACCTGCTCTTTCTACGTTTTGGTGGTTCAGGGACAGCAAAGCTGTCATCTCCACCTCTGTCCCTCCCCTCTCCACTACCCTTGTCTCCCCCGTCCCTGTCACTTCTCCGATCATCTCTGTCCCTCCTGCTTCCATCTCCGTTACGGCTGTCACTGTGACGGCTGCTACTACTACTGCTGCTGCTACTGTGGCGATCCCGGTCCCTGTAGTGGTCGCGATCTCTGTCTCCATGCCGGTCTCGATCACTATAGCGATCATCACTGCTGTGCCGGTCGCTTCTATCACTGTGGCGACTGTCCCCGTGGCGCCCACGATCTTCACTATGCCTGTCCCTATCCTTCTGTGATGAAGGTGGAGGGGGAGGTGGAGGGAAGCTGTGCTGTGCACTGGCTTGACTGACCGGCGGACCGACTGAGCTCAGGGTGCCTGCACTAGTAAAGCCAGGCATTGAGAATGTTGAAGAAGACTTCTCTGAAACATGAGGGGATTCTGAAGGCACAGAGCTCAGACTTCCAGCACTGGTCCAGCCTGACGAGCTGTTAGACTTGGTGCTGAGCTTTGGAGGACCACTGGTTGCAGCAACAAAGTGGCTCTTGTACTGAGCCTACAGGAGTAAGACACATTCAAAAGAAGAGATTAGCACTTATATTATTATAGCTAATTTCAAATGATTCTTTTCTGCCTCTCAATGTCACTGAAATACATCTTCAGGCTGGTGCAATATTATAGGTGAACAGTTTTGTATTTTTTATTTACTGGTTTAGTGAATCAATATTTGATTAACTTTTTGCCTATAAACCATGACAAATCAGGCATCTCTTTACCTGGAAGGCTTGTTTCATTGCAGCCATGCGATCTCCCATCGCTCCTGTGGCAGGTTTAGTGTAGCCTTCAAAGCTACTTGTGGAAGACGGCAAGCTGCTGCGTTCCTGAAAGGGAAAAAAAAAGTCTTACTGACATTCTGTGTCAGTTTGAAATCAGAGCTTAAAGTGATCGGCTGAAAATATTTGTTTTATTCGTTGCAACTTCAAATGTTACAATCCTAAAAAGCAACTTCAAACTCTGGCAAGCACCAACTCACAGAACTTTCAGCTCCCAGTCCAGGTCTCTCTTTGTAACCGAGACCACCCCCACCAATGTTCATCTTCTTCCCTTTCCCACCTTTGAATCTGGACTTCCTAAACCATGGATTCTAGGAAAAAGAATGCACAGAAGACAACATTATTTCTACAAAGCTCTGACGCCCACATAGAACAAAATTATATTTTGAATAGAAATGCATTATGACCTGCATTGCTAAGTCCATCAGCTCTTTCGAAACAGCCTGATTGGCTCCCTCTAGATTTCTAACAAGATCTCCGGCAAAAGTGTGGTCTTTATTGGTAAGGAGAGTGTAGGCTACGCCCTTCTCTCCAGCACGACCTGTTCGACCAATCCTGTGCGTGTGCGTGTCGATGTCTCGTGCCACATCATAGTTCACGACTGTGCGAATGGATGGAATGTCCAGACCACGAGCTGAATACAAATATTGACAACAGCACAAAAACACCAGACTATGTGTTAAATGTGTAAAAAACTTGGTTGACTACTCTGTACAAAACAGAGTATAGGCGGCACAGATGAAAGGAAACAGGAACTTACCAGCTACGTCAGTGGCCACAAGAACTGGTAGATTTTTCTTCTTGAAGTCAGTGATGACCTTGTTCCTCTCACTCTGGTCCATGTCTCCATGCAGCAGTCCGAGGCTATAGCCCTCCTGGATCAGGTTAGTAGCCAGTTCATCAGAGTTTGCTTTCTTGGTTACAAAGATGAGGACAGAGCCTGTGGACGTAAACTCCACCAGCCGCCGGGTCAGCCATGACCACTTATCTGCTCCAGTAGGGAGAAGTTCCACCACTTGGGTGATGTCCTCATTGGCCTGGAAAGAGAAGAAAGATTTTAAATTATATTTTATTTTCAGAAATGTGAAGGTTTTGTTTCATGAAGTACATGGTTTCCTTCTGTCAACACTATTCCAACTCCTAAATTGATGGTGACTGAAAATGTCACTTGCCTCGCCAATGTCTCCCTGCACAACACGAATAGGGTCTACCAAGATGTCTCTGGCCAGTCTTTCAATCTTCTTTCGGAAAGTAGCACTAAACAGAAGAGCTGTGAATAGAAATAAAGCACATATCATTTTAGGCCTTCCTTGAAGCTTTAATACTAAGAACAATCTGTGCTGTTTTAGCGTAAACTTACTCTGTCGGTCGGGGCGGACATGGCTTGCGATAGACCTAACCTGATATTCTGGAGACAGGAAACCACAACATTAGCTTTGATGCACAAACTCTTTTCAGAGTATCTTTGTTTTATTTGAGATGGTCATCACACCTACCAAAACCCATGTCAAACATGCGATCTGCCTCGTCAAACACAAGGTATGTCACCCTCTGTAGTGATGTGGCCTTCTTTTTGACATGGTCAATAAGACGACCCTGCGGGAATAAATAAAAGGTAAAAAAAAAAGGCAAAAGGAGTGTGAGATTTTTTTTAAAATTATAGACATGAAGTCATTCCTACCGGAGTGCACACGACAATCTCGGCTCCCTCCTGTAGAGCCTTAGCCTGCTCCCACATACTGCCTCCTCCGTAAACCGCCACTGAACGTAATGAGTAGGCTTTCCCAAAGCGCTTACATTCTGCATGGATCTGTTAAACAGAGAAGGTAAAATATTTAAATCATAAAATGGCAACCTTGGATAACGCTACAGTGAAAGCATCTTTATCTAATACTGTACCTGCTGACAAAGTTCTCTAGTGGGACATACAATAACTGCAATGGGACCCTCTCCTGGCTCCAACTCTTTTTGGTCCATAATATGAACCAACATTGGCCAGATGAAAGCTGCAGTTTTGCCACTGCCAGTTTTTGCAATCCCAATCATGTCACGTCCAGACATGGCTATGGGCACACCCTGAAACATACCATCAGAAATGTTTTCTTTCTGCCCTATACACATACAAAAGGAACCTGACTAAATAAACTGCAACTTTGAGATAAACTTGGACATTACCTGGCACTGTATTGGTGTGGGCTGTGTGTACTCAGACTTTCGGATCTGGTGCATGAGCTGCTCATCAAAGCTGAAATGAGCAAAGCTGGTACATGGTTTTGGAGGTGCAGCACCTGATACCTAGAAATGAAAAAAGTAGAAGATGCACATATTATTATTTGGCTAATTCATTCCAACAGTAGCATTGAAAAACTCCTTAAAAAAACAAAACAAAAACCAATATCATACAGTTACAAAAAATTTATTCTGAAGGTTTATTGCGGCACATTTTTGAACTAATTTCATTTGCAAGTGAATAGGAAACTTACTCTTAAGTTAAGTTTTTGCCTTAGTTCAACAACTTCAGCTCCAGTCAGGCTGCTGAGCTCTTCGTGTTCATCGTAGAAGTTTTTCACAAAAGGTGCATATTCAATCTGTTCAAATGGAAACAACAAAACAAATATAACATAAAACACAATGATACACACAACATCCTGATTCAGTGTGAATAAATGTACCTCAGTGTGGTCAATAGGAGGAAGTGGCAGGATAATTTTCTTGGTGGTAGAAGGGATCGGGTTCCCATCACTGTCATAGTCAATGTTGTCTTCCTCTTCTTCCTGGGTCAGCCCAGCTGTGGGGTTCTCTGCCATATAACGAAAGTATGCTTCCTGCAGAGAGCACAAGCAGCACATTTAAATAAAATGAAGTAGTTTACATCCAAACACAGCATTTAAACACCAGAAGGAGAATCACAAAGTAACTGAATGGCAGTCAGCTGTGTAACATAAACATTTCAGGCCACATTCAAAGTTAAAAAAAACAAACAATGTAACTGACACAATAAAAACATATTTCACCTCTTATCGTAAAGATAAATTGTACAAATATAATCTAGGACATATTTAAACAAAAGACATAGCACTGAATGTCTTTGAGCAGCAATGTACTGAATTGAAAACTATGGAGAGCTCACTCACTTGTTCATCTTCTTCTTCAATGTCATCACGAATACCCCTGCAATGAAGAGCGGAGAAAAAAAAACTTCCCTGCGGCTCGTTCATAAACCCAAGACAGCCCACAACCCACTGTAACTAAGAACATGCTACTTACCTGAAAGTTCCTATCAAACCAGTATGAATTATGTTGTATAAGCCATTGTTCATTTACAGGATATAATTGTAAACTGTGAATAACAATAAACATAATCATCTTTTTCCTTTTGAACTATTTGATATTTTAACACTAAGTAAGGACAAAAGCAATGGCCTACAAAGGAAAAAACTAACAACAAAAGGGTGAGTAACTTAGAATCTTACTTGTCAGCCTTTTTCTCTTTTTCCTTTTCCTCTAGTTTCCTCATGTCTTTTGCTGCTTGACTCTGATGTGAAGAAAGAACAAAATATGTAAAAAAAAAAAAAAAAGTAAAGACGTGCACATAATAAAATTAAAATGATCTTATGACCATCTTACCTCAACTTCTGCCATGAAGGCATCCAGTGGATCATCCTCGCTGTCCGAGCCACCACCTGACTTCATTTGCTGTCGTGTCGGCGAATTCTCAGCTGGGATATACGGCAGATCCATGTTGTTGCTCGACTCCTCCTCATCATCTTCAAAATATCTTGGTGACAAAATAGTAAAACACAATGAATTGTATCATTCTGATCCAACAATTCCTATTAAGCATTTAAGGTTTTCTTTGAGATTCAATGTGAACCTGTTTATAAAGTGAACCCACAGCATGTGTGTGTACTCACGCATTTTCCTCATCAAAATTAGATCTCTTGGTCCCTATCTTGTAAAATGATGGAAGCTGCTGGTTCTTCCCGTATCCTCCACCTGATCCTGAGCCTTTGAATGATGTGTGAGAATTTTGGGGAAGGCTAGGTTCCTCCTTTTTGCCTGCAAGGGAAAACCCTCCAAACCCAAAACCTCGCTTGACACCTTGACTGCCTTTGTTCCAATTCATGACTGTGCTGTGAACAGAAATGGGATAGAAAAAGCCAACATCAACCTTCACTTCTTGGTGCTGACGTTTTTCAACAGGGGGTTGTGTATGATATTGTTAATGACTGTTGTTATGCCAAATGAGCCTCATGAGATACTAAAGCCAACAATTAAGTCAAATGCATTAAATAAAAAGCTATTTAGTTTTTAACAGACCAAAACTAAATTCTCCATAGTTAAAGGGATTTAGCCAACAGTATGGAAAGACGTACGCTGAAAAGGCGACGGTCCAATGTGTCCGAGTAAACGTCATTTGACCGCGGACATGACGAGAGGGTATTCGCGCTAACGGGAAGCAAATTAAATCTTTTAAAAATAATAAGAAAATAAAACAGTACTGACTCGAGGATAAATGGCTGACTCTTTAGGTTGCGTTTAGAATTTCGCACAAACTTTAAATAGGTGTTGTTTGTGCATGCATTGCTATAGCGAACTATTAGCCCAAGGCCGCAAAATGAGGCCGAAAGAGCTAAATTTGACACGTTAGCTTGCGCATGCTTCAAAGTGAGTCTCTTTTATTAATGGTTTGAGAGCACAACGACTTTTGTTTTAATTGAAAATATATGTTTAAAGTCTCACATGTGTAGTCTTTGAGTCAGTTTACCTGTTTACAGAGCTCTGTTTGACTCTTCTTCCCCCTGTCTGTGTTGTCTATGAAGAAGCGCCGTTGACGTAATCAATGCGCGTCCGCATCATTTGGGTGGGCGTGTCGTCGTTCATATGCGACTCGGTGAATAGCGAGCAGTCGTAGTTAAAAGCTGTCACCAAATTAGTTACTGGAGAAGATGGCTGGCTAAATACATTACCTTTCCCTCTATATTACTCCCCAGTGGTACCGTTTCTCTGAATTCCGCATAGGTAAGCTGTGAAAACATCAAAGTAACGCCTGTATAAGTTGGTTTCTGCTGGAGCTAACGGTAATTGACCATGTTAGCCGCGCCATCCGTCATAGTAACATTACTGCAGCATTAATTGAGTTTAGCTATGCATTTTATAATATTTTATTGCTTTAACCTATAAAAAGCAACTTTCCGTTAGTATAATAATTAAAAAATGCCTGTTATCCACTAAGTGGTTTAAATCTTGATGTTAACATGTAAAAGAAAGAATAATGTTACTCAAGCTGATGCTAACTAATGAGAGAAATGGTTGGTTAAATTTTTTAGGCTAATAATCACGTTAAGAGATGTTAAGTATAGCGTTGACATTTGAGGGTATTTTAATATATGTAAAAGATTTCTTTATGTTCTTTCGCTTATATTGTGCAAACCACATTCAGTCCTACTTGAAAAAAATCCCCACTTTTCCCCACAGATATTCTCTGGACAACATTTCTGGATCATATGGTACACACTCAAGAGGATCCATGTCTTTTCTTGTGAGTATCCTAGAACAACTTTATATTCTGGACATAATTAGAACTGTAATTTTATGTGTTAAATAATGATATTTTAATTTTGCATAGTCACAGTCAGAGTAATTGTCATACCAGCAGCAGCTAATTTAATTTGAAGCAGTAGGATTTCACAGTTACTGTTACAATAACAGAGTGTTCCTGTTGTAAGTTGTAAGTAACGTGTAGTTCATGAAAGTATCCTTGTTTTGTTCTTGGAAAATATGTCACAAGCATTTTATTCAGTGGCTTTATGATGATCTTGACTAATTCTTGCTTATTTTGTTTTTCTTCTTTGTTTTACACATTTGTTACTAACCATGTGTATCTGTCAGCGTTGGGTGTCAGAAAAATTAAGTGTGGAGAGTCTTCGGGATTTGGAGTTATTTGGAGGTGAGAATAAAGGACAACTTACAAACACTGAAAATGTCATTCTTCTTAGGCTTTATCCATGACCAACAACCATGACATTACTAACAACAACTCCTGTCATTTTGTGGGAAGAATTGTTCCTTTTTTTGTGTCATTTTGGCAAACTTGCTTTTTCTTATAAATATCATCACCCAGAAGCTTTGGATTGTTTTCATTTACTTTTGTGAATCAATTATTGTTAAGCAATGCATGTTGACACAGTTGCATTCATTTCTGGCTGTGCTGTATTTTCATTGCCTTTTTGAAAGGACCTTCAAAAAAACCTACTGAATCAAAGTAGACTAAGGCAAATGTTAAGTTTGGTCTGTGAGAGAAAATATTTTTTACTGTGGCCAGATTTATTTTTGTTGCTGCTATGTCAGGGTTGAGGTTCATTCTTGCCCTTCATATCTGAATGATCTAAAAATGGTTTGGCACTTAGTTGTCAAAGTTACTGCCATAGACAGGCCGATTCCACGACAGAATGAACGGCAGAGCCTTTCCCAGAAGCTGCTTTCCTGTTCACGAGCTGCTCTTGACACAGATCCTTCTCCTGTTTTGTATGTGTTCATGTCAATGATATGGTTTTTCTATCCCAGAGCAAGCTCAGGGACTCTCTCACAGGAAAGTAAGTGTGGTACTCCTGTCACTGCATCTTCATCGTCACCAACCTGCATTTCCTTACCGTGTATGTTGCTGGCATGTGTACGTGTGCATACAGATAAAAGCACAGTGGAATCCACAAACTCCCTGAGGCTTGGCACATTTCTGTATGCATGAGTGTTCACTTCAGGACACAGCATTTATGCTTATAGCTTAAAGGGTCATTTTACCATTACCATTCACTTTTGCTTCTTCTGGTGGACAGTAGCTCATACTGGTTGTAATATTAAGACAGGGATATGTACAAATGTTTTTTGTCTCTGTCTTTGGAGTGAAGTTAATATGCTGTGCTGACAGACTTGAATTTTGTGTGGTTGAGTTGCAACCAATGGCTGTCTGTGCTGTGAGTTTTTTGGTCTAAAAGTAAACAGATGTAATGCCCGTCCTTGACAGAAGCCTCCTCGTGTTTCCATGTATTTATCTTAAGAAACACATAGAAACCCCTTCAGATCTGATCAGTGGTGTAGTCCATGTGATTAGATAAACATTTACAGACATTTCCACGGCTGATTGCTGCCACAGCATGTTTCACCTCGCTGTCATGGCAGTTCTCATCAAATAGTTTCCATGGCAAGACTCAATTCAGTTTGTTTCACATGCAGCAAAACTGCTGGTGATTTTTCATCTCAAAAAATAATACAAAAATAAAGACAGAAGTCAGATTTTGAATTGGGTTTGCATTTTGATCACCATGGAAACAGTCTCTGGATATTAAGTTTGCCTTCATTTGCCTCCACAGCCTGCTGCTGCAGTCTGTCCCATTTCCATCATTTGAATGTCAGTAACAATTGGAACCCAGGAGTCCTCACTGCTTTTTATTATTACCAAGATTTTTTATTCTTCTCACATCTGTGTCTGTGATGCATATGTTAAAATAATATTTTCACATACTGTTTTATGCAACTGACATATCTTAAGCTGCAGAAGGGCAAAGATTATTTGTGATATATATTTGTTTTTTTGTTTTGTGTTTTTTTTTTCATTAAAAAAACCCCATGGAACTTTGAAACCAAAGGCTTTTATATTTTGGTTTTGTTTCTCTTGCTGTGAAAAAGGGCCTTAAAGTCAAACCAAGTCAGTCTAGTCCTTTAATATGTATTAACTATACCTAAGGTAGGACACCTACCTTTTATTTTTGCACAAGTTTGTTTCTGGTGGCTATGTGTTTGTCTGTGTGTGAGTGTGACTGCACATGTTCACGTACAATACCTCTTTAGCTAGTGTGATGAGTTGCACCAACACCTCATTAACAGTTTGTTTATCTTCTAACAGATAACACCAATACACGCCTCTGTTAGTCCCCAAATGCTATTGCTTGAAGTACTACAGTGACAAGTGAAGACAGCGTCAACATCATTGTGCCTGTTTCTTTTCTCCATCTTCAGGTCCATGAGGACAGTCAGGAGAGTCTGAACTCCCTCCCTCGTCAGGACACCATGGGCAGCTTTGTCCCTGACAGCAGCTCTTACGAGCTCCATACAGTTATAGGTACGTAAAGGCCGCTGCTGATGCTTAGGTTGAGTTCAATGTTTACGGCTAAAACGTACAGATTGGAGAGCATCCAATAACAGTTAATTTGCTTCATAATTCTCACATTTCCTATAAATAAAGTTTTTGTTTTTGTTTTTAGGTCGGGGCTTGGATGACTTGATGACTGTGAACCTTGCACGATACAAACCCACAGGGGAGCACGTGGCCATTCGAAGAATTGACCTGGAGTCGTGCACTAACGACATGGTCACTTACCTGCAGGTGTGCATCAGTCTGCCATCTTATGTTAATTCCCATCAAGATGCACGATCCACAGGTCCACATTGAAGAGTTTACACTTGACCCTGCATTCTTTAATTTCTTTGAAATGATGAGGAATTTCAATATTTAATACTGGGGAATTTGGTTGAAAATAAGATGCAGAATCATCATCTGCTTCTTTTCTAGACCTACATTGTGAATTATTTTCCTCTGTCTGTCAGGGTGAACTTCATGTGTCAAAGTTATTCCACCATTCCAGTATTCTACCCTATAAGAGTGTCTTTATAGCTGAAAATGAACTGTGGGTCATCACTCCCTTCATGGCCTATGGTAAGAAAATAACATCTGTCATCGTTGGTTTTCATACTTATACAAATTTATTCAAATAAGTGTGTTATTTGGAGCATGGAGTAGTCTTATTATAATATCTGATTTAAATAATCACATTTGGTGTTTCATTATCATATTTCCAGGGTCAGCCAGAGATTTGATCTGTACACATTTCACTGATGGAATGAGTGAGCTGACCATTGCATACATTTTACTGGGCATGCTTAAGGCTCTGGAGTACATCCACCACATGGGATATGTGCATCGGTGAGCTAACATTGGACTGAATACACTAAAAAAATACTGACATAATAAGTGTGTTATATGTATGGCTGTGATCTACTGCTTTAAATGATAACTTGTTAAATCTGTCTTTTGTGTTTGATGTGTTAACCGTTGTTTGTTATATTTAGGAGTGTGAAGGCCAGTCATGTGTTGATCTCAGCAGACGGACAGGTGTGCATGTCAGGTCTGCGCAGCATCTTCAGTCTGATTCGCCACGGGCAGAGGGCCAAATTTGTGCATGATTTTCCTCAGTACAGCATCAAGGTGTTGCCTTGGCTCAGCCCTGAAGTTTTACAACAGGTAATTCTCTCCACATGGTTTAAGCCTGTCTGTCTGCATGTGAGGAAGTGGTATTTCTTTAGACACAAGATCTGAACAAAATGGACGACAATCATTAAATGTTTTGTAACTTTGTTTCCAGAACCTGCAGGGCTACGACTCCCGTTCTGACATCTACAGTCTGGGAATTACAGCCTGTGAACTGGCTAATGGACATGTCCCTTTCAAAGACATGCCAGCCACACAGGTAACTGATTGTAGCAGCAATTCTTATTACAGTAGTCAACACCAGTCCTGTCTGAGTGTGCAGTTCCAAATTTTTATTCTGAGGGGTCACAGTGAAGGCCCTGGGAACTGTCAATTTAAATTCAGTGCTTTGTGTCCACAGATGCTGCTGGAGAAACTAAACGGAACAGTACCGTGTTTGCTGGACACCACCACGATTCCACCTGAGGAGCTGTCCATGAAACCATCCCGCTCCGGAGCCGACTCTGGGATCTGCGAGGGCCCTGCAGCGGGAGTGGCAAAACATTCCAATGGAGACCATTCCACTGCATCAGCAGGACACCCTTATAATCGAACCTTTTCCCCTCACTTTCATGCTCTTGTGGAGTTGTGTCTACAGCGAGACCCTGAGAGAAGGTTGGCTATTTGGTTGTTTGAGGTCACTGAGTACTCAATGTGGTAGTGTGGTCTGTGGACAAAAAGTTGAACTGAAAGGCTGCTGCTGTAAAGAGCAGAAAACAGTCTTCATTAGATGATTAGATGTTTCTTTATGTCCTGTTATCAGAACTCGGTGACCTGAAACAACAGCTATCTGTTAGAACCACAGACAGATTCAAAGATTAAAAGTCTAAAAATGTTCATGTCACAACTTTTTTTTTTCCCTCTTTGTTCCCCAGACCCTCCGCGGCCGCTCTAATTGGCCACCCATTCTTTAAACAGGTAATTATGTAACAATGCTTTCAATTAGGATTCCTATACATTTAATAATTTTGAGTTGTATATCTTTCACAAAAATCCCATAAATATTTCAAGTCCACTGATGTTGACATTCTCTTTGCCTCTTGTCAGATTAAACGTCGAGCCTCAGAGGCGCTCCCTGAGCTGCTGCGCCCCGTTTCCCCCATCACCAGCTTTGCTGGCTCACAGCCACAGGACTCTCCTTCTGGAGTGGCCAGTCTGGAGTCAGGTCTCAGCCACCTGGACGTGGACGACTGGGACTTCTGACAGTGGAGGACTTGGTGGGAAGAGTCTTGTACACTGATGGCAAAAGACAAACCTCAAAACAGAACAAACATTTTTGTAATGTCACTTTGTAAATAATCCAAATCTAAACTTTGAGTGATTTGCTGCACCCGAAGGTTAAAGCCAGCAGCTGTCTCGCCTCTTTTTCGTGTTTCCTGCACGCTTTTGTTCTTTGGACATGCACAGACTGCTGCACTTCACTGATTGCCTCTCTCTTAAAAACACACACAACTGTTTACAGATTGTACTGAGCTACAGCTGGACCATCTGGAATCCTAACCCATACCCAGTTCCCTCCTGTGGTTGCCGAGATGTCATGGAAGGTTTTATGGACGTTCATTCAACCTAAACCCAAAGATTCTCGTGAAACAGATCCTACTGAATATTCTGAGAGGACGCTCTACCTCTTGTTTGATTATGGCTGCATTTTGTATCCATTGCTCAGTAAGACCGCCATAAGGATGCACACTAGTCCTTACAGCTGACTCAGCCCAGTACATCAGATGGAAAGTGGTGACATTGTCTTAAAGGTTGGCTAAAGGATCAGCATGTGTATGTATGTATTTCTCTGCTCTCAGTCTTGGTGGTTTTCTTAACACATCATCTTTATGGCACAAAGTTCCAAACCTCTGGGCCAACATTCGGAGCACACGTATTTCCTGCAACTGTATCCGAGCGTGATGTTACTTTTGTGGAACATTTAATGTTACATTGGTGCTTGTTTTGTTTGCATGTTTTTGAAAGTGAGAACAAAGCGAAGATGTTGCAAATGTTGACTTGAATTTTAACAATAAACAATGTCGACTTTAAGTTACTTATAGTGTTTGACCATAAACGTCGGAGTCAGATAATAAATATCTTAAAAAATGTTATTTTATTTAAATGGTACACAGACAAAACACTTAAAGGCATCACAGCTGAAGTATTGCTAATCCTCTTCCTCGGATGGAGGTTGGTCAGCTGCAGCTTGGCGTTTCTCCAGCTTAGCCATTAACTCTGAAACACAGGAAGAGTTATTGGTACAACTGAAAAATTGTGTTATACAATTATATTCCACTGTGTTCATTCAGCAGCAATGCTATTTAATTATTGATGCCATTGCTTCAGAATTGTGGCTCACAATAACAGTGCATCAGGTACTGTACTGTTTTCATTAAATTCACCAGACTCTGCTTACCTTTAGCAGGGTTGAAGACACCATTGGTTTGTGTGTTACAGACGTAGCAACGCTTGGACTTGCGGTAATGTTGGAGCGCGCAGGCCTCACAAAAGTAGTGCCTGCACCTGTGAGACATTTGAATGGTTAACATGGTAACAAAACCAGTCTTGGGACAAAGAAGCATAGAAGAAAAATAAAACCTTACTTCGTGATGATGGGATTCTTATAGGAATCTCTGCAGATGAAGCACTTAAAGGGAAAGTCATCCTCATCACTGCTCACCTCGTAGTTCTCACCATCTAAATTTGACAAAACATGGTTGAATGAATTCTGGTAAAGATAACAGAAACAATTTCCTACTGTGAACTCACCATTGGCTCCATATCTGCCTTCTTCCAGCTCCCTCTCGATCTGCCAGCCATGTTTGTAATCTGATCTATCGTGAAGGAATTTGCAGCTGTCTGGAAGCAGCAGAAACAAGAGTATGAGACTGTGACCAAATCTTAAAGATGACTTTAATATGATAGTGCTGTTCTGTGTGCTGCACCTCCAAACCCGCAGAAACCAGTTTCCTTGTAGTCTTTGCAGATGTCTGGTTGGTAGTCCCACCTGACCGTGGCTCTTAGATGTTCAGGGGCCCGAATTGGTCCTTTTCTGTAACAGAAGTTGACTGATTAAACTTAACCAACATATTATAGTTTGTTTTTTTAAAACCAAAAAATACAATTAAGAATTTATGTTTGTAAACTTGTGCCTTTTTCTCCTAATGTTACAACTTTTTTTTACATTATTTTTTCATCTCATTGTTGGTACATCAGTATGAATAACTTACCGGACCATACCAGAAGAAGCGTTGCCCATAGTGGTATCTTTAGGCTTGATGAATTTTTGGTAATTGTTGATGCCCCGGTAGATTTTGTCATCCTCTTTACCTGTTAGCTCCTGTTGAAAAGAATGAATGGTTCATCAAAGCATAGGTAGGTATAATAATAAATCATCAAATGTGTAGTAGCTTTGCAAACAACATAATTTCGTTAAATACCTCTTGTATTTTCTGACTCCTCTCAAAAATGGCTTGTGCGTCCTTGTCCCTTTCTGTGTCCAGCTCATATGTAGCAGTTGCACCCATGTCATCTGGTCCCTCTGGTTTCTTTTTCCAATCAGATTAGCAGAAAGTGGACAGAGATAGAGAGAGATTTTGGTTTGACTTTCAAGCAAGGTTTTCTTTTTTTAGGTAAATAGTCCAGACTCACTGCTGATCGTTTGGATTTGTAGGCAACAGTGATCTTGTCTTCTTTGTCATCTTCACTCTCACTGGAGGACATGGCATCTCTCTCTACTTTCTTTGACTGTACACAGGCAGGACAATTGTCACACATATTGTATATAGCTGTGAAACATAAAAAAATAAAAATAAAAATAACTTTACCCTTTGAATCATAGGGTTGACTCGGATATCTTTTTTTGTTTTCCTGACCACTGCACTCTGATCTTCTTCACTGTTGTCATCTGGACAGAAAAATGCAGATTATCACTGAATTGTTTTTCAATTAAAATTATCTTTGACAGCAGGTCAGGAGTTTTAACTTGAATGTAAGTAAGAGGAAATAGAGCAAACATCCTCCCAACAACCCTGACTGATAACTGGGTTTCAGAGTTAAGTCACTGGAGTCTTCCCAAATCTTTATTGCATGACAATGAAACCGTTCTCGTCTTTGCCCTCACCGAAACAGCAACATTAGTTATCTATGTTAACAACAAGTTGAACTCTACTACAGTAAACGTTTATATTTAATCGTTTTTCTACCCACTGCACGTTACGTTTACATCTCAGGTTTGTTGACCACCCTACCGCAGTCATATTATAAATCATTATAATCAAACTGTTACAAGCATTCGTTTGACGATTCATTATTACCTTTATCACTGTCGCTTGCCTTCCTTTTCCGCCCAGAGAATTTTTTTGTGGATTTTTTGAACAAAAATGTACAAGAACTCGCTTTAGGATCTTCTGATTCCGCCATCTTGCCCCCAAGTATATAAATAATACGGGTCCTGACAGCGTCCTCTGCTGTCTTGGAGGAACACAACAGAAATGGGAAAATATGCAGCAATAAAAACAAACCAAAAATAATAGTAAGTAATTTCATACAATATAATGACTTATAATGTAATAACATAAATAAAATTGAAATAAATATGCGAATGCAACTCAGAATCTTTAACTGCGTTATATATGTTCCTTATAAAATCTGTTAAAGAGAACACCTGCTCCTGCAGTACAAAGGGCTTAGACAGTTACATGTATTAATGCTTTTAGGTTGATGAAAAATATCCGTATTATTACATAATCAATTTTGCGTTTCTCACGTAAAAGCACACGGTAGCCGGAACTAGATTTTACTTTGAAAATCTTAACCGGACATTTTAAGTTTAATCAGTTTCTACCTTGTCACCGGTCATCTGTTTCATCCTCCTCCATCACAGCACAGCAGCGCCTGCCGCTCCCCAGTAGAGGACAGTGGGTATTTGTAGGACACAGGGCCCGCGGAGGGAGGGGTCCTGGCCTGGGCACGGATCCCGAAGAGGCCCCGGGGCCGCCGCTGGATGGAGTCGGGCTGCCTTCAAAAAGCAATGGCTATGGGTTTGACATCGAAAAAGGCGTCTGCTCGGAGCTTCGGCGTGGAGAGAAAAAACCTCATCACGGTTTGCAGGTACACAATCACGAAGTCGTCGACCTAGAGTCTTATTTGCATGCTTTTGCATGATGCTGCCCTATGAAATTAGAAATAAATGCAGAGGGGAAATACCTGCAAAGAGATGATAAAAAAAAATGCATAGCAACTGACTTGTTTTTAGTAAGGATAAATTTGGAGATAAGGCAGGTGTGTGCTCCCCTCCGCCCTTTTTTTTACCTGTATATGATGAAATTGTCAATCATTACAAATTATACCCTCCAGTTATAGTGTGCTTTATTAAAGATCTACATTTCTTATTTGTGAATTGGTTGTGACAGCTATGTGTTGGACCCTCTGAAGTCCTAGCAACAAAGTCTCTTCTATTTATATATGTTGGGCTGCATACATTCCATGTACTTCTTCTGAAGAAAAATGCATGTTGATATAGATGTCAGAAGTATAATTGATAGAATAAGTGAATTATAATAGGTGACCCAGAAAGCAAAAGCATAAACAGCAGGTATTCTCCTCATCACTGTCAGATTGAGCATGTCTGAATGGGACAAGGGCAGCGGGAACAGTGAACAGACTCCTCCTTTTCCTCTTCCTCCTCCCCCTCCATCAGTGGTCCTGCTTCCACAGAACACTGAGTGCCGATGGTCTTTATATGGCTGCAATAAATCATCGTCCTGTACAGTGTTCATGGAGGTTGGGGTTGTGACCTCTACGTCTATCTATCAATTAAACATCATTCTAATTGTCATGAATTTACAGCATGTTTTTATGATATCTTTACAACTTGTATGGAGGATATTTCAGTGGTTTTAGGATGAAGCAGGTTTTAGATATTTGCTTTCCTGTGAGCTTGACAGATAGCTTTTCATTCAGATGATTTTTGTTCTAGTCTGAAGGTAATAATGCATTACCAAAAAAATACATTTATAAACACATTCAAATTTGCACAAAAATTGACACACAATCGAGCTTTTTTTTATTCCAGGACCTTTCTCTTCAAAGTTCTTACTGCTTTAGTGACACTCATGTTGAAATAAAACACAACATTACACAGAGCATACTTGCAAATGGCAACAAAGGAAAAGTTCCCACAGTGGACTAACAATGACATGGTGACATATTTAGTGGGAGTACGGCATCGTCGCTGTTTTTCAGGTTGGCCGCGCTCAGACCGGTTTAAGTTTTTTTTAAGTGACAAATAGACAAAAAGACACACTGGACGAGACAGAAATGAATCAAAAACAGCTGTTCATCAGTATTGCGTATCACACCTCCGTTTTCTATGACAAACGATAACAGTAGTTAAGGTTGGTTTTCAGGCTTCTTCTCCTCATCCACGATGATTCTGACCATTTTTTTCTGTACTTCCCGATCCTGCTCTGGTCAGAGTCCTTTCAAGTAGTCACTGGTTGTTGTGATCATACAATGAAAGAGGAGAGAGGTTTTGAATCAGCAGCACACCCTCTGGCTGTGCATTAAAGACGTTTGAGCATCGCGTTGGTGCAGGACACAGGATCCGGGCGCTGACTCCTGCTGACTGAGACATAGCCACCGCCACAGCTGGAGCTGCGGCTGCAAGACTGACGTTAATGCATGTTAGCACAAAAAGCCAAGCTTCTAGATTTTTTTTCTAAAACATAATTGGATACATACAAAATCTCCACCTTTTTCCCCATCTCACATTAACAGTCAGAACACACAGATTAACATATTCACTTCACCTGATGAGGTTGTTTCACTTGACAGGGACTTTTACAGGAAGTGTGGGCTGCATCCGTTTACATTAGGGATCAAGGTGTTCACGTGTTGGCGTCCTACGTTTTATTAGCACCATTTATTACATGTGACCCATACAGACATGTAAACAAGTCATGATTAAAACCGATCTAATATATACATTTATTTCAATTAATATCTCTTTTAATTCAATATATAGAGAGATGTTTTTCATGTCCTCTCAGACACTGACATACGTATTAAAATAGACGTCCCACAAAGAATGTACATCATTCTGGTATCACAATGTACGCCACATGTTTCAAATTGTTCTTGTCCATCACTTAAAGTCAGGAATGTTTTGTTACTCCGAGGGTGGGCTCCCCAGTAATAGTCAATTTAAAGACATTGGCTGAGATGTGGCAAACATTTTGGAAACCGGTGCACAATATTTGGGTCACTTGGTGGCTGCAATTCATTTATGAATGTGGGTCATGTCACTAGTTTTCCAGTGGGGTTTATGTATACAGATGTAGAAGAGCACATGAAGTATGGGAGTCACATAAGGGCTGTGTTAGAGAGTATTGATTAAAGGGCATTTTGAAGTTTTGTATGAAGGAGTAGGAAATATAAGCTTCTCTTTATAGGCCACTTTAAAGCCTCAGAGGCTTCACATACTAATGCAGGTGTAAAGGGACTCGGTAATATATCTTTATGATGTAAATAGTGACAGGAGAGTGGACTGAGCTGTTGCCGTTAGCAACAGGTATTATGTCTAATACGGGTGGGCAGAACTTTTGCTGCAGTCATTGTGAATTTTCGTGGAGCTACTGCAAAGGTCAATTAGTTTCTACTGGACCTGCCTGACGTTGTTCAATGGTCAGGAGACACCGTTTACAAGCCTCAGTCTGAACATAGGTGTTTTTCAACGTTCCCATTTGTTGCTTCAATTTGTCTAAAGAGCTGTCATGATGTCATCAGTGACTGCAGGAACACGGAGAACCTATGAAAACACAGATAGGATGAGTGAGACTTGCCAGGTTTGATCTGCCTCATGTAAACAAAAGAGAAAGGTGGAGAAAATGGATGGAGAGATAGAGAGGGAGGGAGAGAGAGAGAGAGAGAGGGGCGGAGGATGGTGTTCTGCATAATGACTGAGGCTGAAGAAAAAATGTTTTGTACTCTGGTGGAAACAAGTGCATATTCACATCAGTTGGAGATGCTTCTGCAAGTAGGTAGTTCTTTGTTGTTGTTTTTTGAGATGTGCTACAGTCCAGGATCCAGTTCATTCAGTTTCCTCCTCATTCACTTTAATTTTAGGAAATAAAAGGAGTAGTCTGGAATTCACTTTCATTTTAAATGCTGCTCTCATTAAACAAAAATCCCTGATTTCTGACCTGATTTTTTTTTTAAATTCAACAACAGTGTCAAGTATGTGAAGTTACAGCAGGATTTTCCCACTAGTTAGACCTGACATTTGGCTGC